ATATTACTTCTTCAAGTAAATAAAAATTACTTGTACAAGTAGTACCCCTGACTGACAGTATCAAGCTTGAATATTGTGTCCAAATTTGCACCAACTGTTCAGGGTTCGTCCTCTGCAGTCGTATCAGGCTGCTCTCGTCGAAGCATTTTTGTCTCGCCTTGACGGAGTCAAAAAGCGAGGCATAGGTATGCTATTTCTGGTGGCGGCGTCAACAATGTATTAGTTTGTGATAAGGTCTAGTTCATGGTGAACCATTAGTGGTAGGTTAATGATATTTGGTATACAGATGTATTAGCATTGGCACATCTCATTACCATGGAGATTATTTGGCCCCACACCCTCAGTCAAGGTCTATTGACTTTGAAACTTGGCTTAGTTTTACATATATTAGTTTGTGATTAGGTCAGTTTATGGGGAACCACTAGTGGTAGGTCAATGATAATTGGTTTGCAGTTGTAGAAGCATTAGCACATCTTATTTCCATGGAGAATATTTGATCCTTACCCCTCAGTCATGGTCTATTGACTTTGAAACTTATGCTTAGTTTACATGTATTAGTTTTGGTCTGTTTTTCAAGTACTTTAAAATAATCAATAGGTCAACTAAATTTGGTGTATGGAATGTTTTTAAGGTGTATATGTCTGTCTGGCAAGTATCATCTGACTTTGACCTCATTTTCATGGTTCATTGGTCAATGTAAATTTTTTATGTCCCCACCGTAGTGGAGGGGGCATTAAGTTTTACACTTGTCCGTCTGTCCGTACGTACGTACGTCCTAAAATTGGTTTCTGTTCTCTAACTTTAGTTTGCCTCAACCAAATAATATGAAACTTATACACAATGCTTATTACCACAAAACACAGGTCAAGTTTGAATTTTGGTGGTGTCACTTTTACAGTTCAAGAGTTATGCCCTTTTACAAAAGGAAAAATTGCTGTTCTAAAAATATAAATTATGTCATTTTTAAAATCTTCTTTGAAAATTGGAGTTATCTTTCTTTGTCCAGAATTGTAGTTGAATCAACTACAATCAATGCTTTATACAATGCAATATTCAATTTTACTTCCCACTGATAAATTAAAGCAATCTTTACCATTCAGTGCTTACAAGCACTTTGATTACCATTCTAGTGTTATGCCCCTGTACAAATGGAAAAATTGCTGAATTTTTTCGTTTCCGTTCTCTAACTTAAGTTTGTCTCAACTAAATTTAATGAAATGTATATATAATGCTTATTACCACTAAACTCAGTTTAAGTTCAAATTTTGGCAGCTTCACTTTTACAGTTCTTGAGTTATGTCCCTTTATAAATTTATATGCTAGCGGGGGCATCACCTGTGTCCCTATGGACACATTCCTCATTTATTTTTATTTCAATTAGCAAACACATAGGTCAACTATATTTGATAAAAAATGTAAGGTGACACCATTTATCTGACCGTATTCTCATTGTCATTGATCATTTAAAGTGACAAGTTTCTGTAATGCTTTTAGTAAAACTTTTATCTTTAAGACTTCTAACTTAAAATCAATTGTCAGTAAAGCAGACGAGACATTTCAATGTTGTTTTTAAATTTTGGTTCATTTATCTGTTTCAGAGTTTAGTGTTTCAGAACTTAAATGTCCAGCGGCAAATTAATATGCATATTCAGGACAAGAACAGGTTAATGTAATATGAATATTAACCCTGCTTTCTACTAGACTGACAGGCTGAGCTGGATTTTTAATGTGCTAGTTCACAAGGTACCAGTCCACAGGAAGACATGTCACATGGACACATTATTCTGATTCTGAGTCTTTGCTCTTTCTCCTAAATGCAGCATGCTTAGCAGAGAAGCAGCACATACCAAATTTTAAAGTTTTTGGTTTGACATGGCTGGGGTTTAGAACCTCCTGAACTCCAGGCGAACACGCTACAATGAGACCACCAAGGCTGTGTTGAAGACCCATTGGTGGTGTTGAGCTGTTTTCTGCTCTTTGGTAGGATTGTTGTCTCTTTTAACATGTACGTTGCTTTAATTTTTTACACATTCCCAGTTTCCAATCTCAATTCTAGTTCAGGTTTATTAGATTTTGCTCGTGATTTTTTAGCCAAAAATGCAGTTATGTGCCAACTGGTAAAGAGATAATGTATCCAAAATTTTAAGCCCCAGAATATATATTTAACACTGAATAAGTGTGTCCTACATTTCAAACATGTCTATAAGACATCACATTACACCCAAACATGTCTAGCTTGTGTTGAATGCTGAAACGTGTCCTGTATTTTTCTTAGTTCCTAATTCTCCATATGTGAAAAACTACTGTTAATGTTGAATTAGTTAGATTGTTATTGTGCTCATCTTGAACATTCATGAAATCTTTGCCACTGGACATGCTGGAGGTCAAACGAACATTAAAACATCAGTCTTCCTAGGCCTGTCTTGATTTTTTAGAGGCCTGATCTAAGAATTATAACCGTTTAAAGTTATTTTTAGAAAATGTACTGTGATCTGTCAATAAGCCAATTGTCTCATCCTGAATTGAATTATGATTGAAGTATGAAGATGTTCCTAGACTTCTAGTATGAAATTATATTGAAATATAATGAAAATAAAGTTCATAGAAAAGATCATTACATTTTTGCTGTAAAATTAAAGTTACAGTAAGTTTTTTTTAGAAAAAAATTATAATATACTCAAAACTAAATAACTAAATGGTAGTTGATTAGATTGTTGGTTGCTTAAAGTCCAGTGGCAAATATTTCAAGAATATTCAGGAAGAGAACAAATTAGCATACAATTTGGTTTTTTTTATAATTTGTGCTTTATTTTCTCTATATGGTCAAGCATTTTCTCTATCTGACTTTAAGATTTTCACTACATCAAGATTTCTTGTAAAGATAGAATTGTATGTATCTTGTATTATCCTTTTGCATGTTTTGTGTGTTTTTGTACTCTAGCAAAATACAGATGGTTTCAATTGAGTCCATTTGCTATATATATAGTTTTGACGTAGCAGATGAGGACATATAAGTGCTAAAAGTTTTGAGATGTTTAGGTGTCTGAAAGTGGACATGTTTGGACACATTTTGGCGAGGTGAAAAATAGGACACATTTGTGCTATTTGTGTTTTTAGAGACAGCAGAAACCAGTTTCGGCAAGACAACTTGTTTATTCTGCAGTGTTCTCCCCACAAATATTCAATAGTATATTCGTTAGCAAAATTTCTAAATACCATCTTGTTTCTAGAAATTATAGCCACAGATCCAAAACTCAAATTTTAAGAATATAATTTCAGATACAGGGGATTCATTTATTTTCGTGTGTACCAGTTTTTATATGACCGCAAAAATTTTTTAGGGTTCGTATTATGCTATGATGTTGTCGTCGTCTGCTTTGTCCCCTGAAGACACATTTCGTTTCCGGACAATAACTTTAGTTTAAGTGAATGGATCTTTTACAAGAAGGTTCAATACCACAAAAGGAAGGTTGGGATTGATTTTGGGGGTTATGGTACCAACAGTTTAGAAAACAGGGGCCAAAAACAAGCATTTTTGTAGTTTCCGGACAATAACTTGTGTGTAAGTGTATGGATCTCTCTGACTTTGTACCACAAGGTTCCATATCACAAGGGGAAGGCTGGGACTGAGTTTGGGGGTAATTGCCCCAAACATGCAGGTATTAGGGGCACAAAAGGGGCAAAACAAGCATTTTTCTAGTTTCTAGACAATAACTTGTATTTAAGTGTATGGATCTCTCTAAAATTGTACTACAAGGTTCCATACTACAAAGAGAAGGATGGAGATGAGTTTGGGTGTTGCTCCATTGGGGGGGGGGGTTCTAATTTTTGTAAGGGGTTCATTTTTTTTTTCAAAATATTTCAAATTTCAAATTTTTGAAGAGTCAAGAAGAAATCTTCAATTGCACAGTATTGCACAATAGATTTTTAAGAACTTTGGCCAGTATTGTGCAATATATTTTTAAGATCTTTGACCACATTTATTTTGTGTCAGAAACCCATATTATTTCAAAAATTTGATCACAATCCAAATTCAGACAGTATCAAGATTGGATATTGTGTCCAAATTTGCCCCAGCTGTTCAGGGTTCAACCTCTGCAGTTGTATCAGGCTGTGCTCAGCGAAGCATTTTATTGTTGTTTGATGTGAACTTGCAATTTCGTGTATATTTGATTTAGTGGTTTTGCCAAAGTCTGCTTTTAATTTATATAGAAAATTTGTATTTCGTTGAACTTTAAAATTTGTGGTTCCCAGAAAATCCATGAAATTTGGTATCCAACAAATAATAATGAATCCACAGTGGCATAACATTCAAACAATATAACATCACATTACCCCTGGGGAGACCACTGGTAAAACTATTGACAGCAAAAACCAAGGGAATATACATATTCTTTAAGATAGGGATTCAAAAATCTAGTTTTAACTTTCAATATAATTCTGAAAATTATATGCCACATTTATATGTATTTTATTTATTTACTTTTCTCTAATTCTTCGTCAATTTATCCCGTTCTGCACCCATTGTATAAAAAAAATTTAATCAACGTGTGGTTTGTTTGATCTCAGTTCTTTATTGGTTAAAATCTGATTATGACGTCGAATTTTCTTGCTTTCCTCTGAATTTCCTATTGTGACGGCATGAAAAAAGGCGACCATGCCTGATGACGTCACATAGAAAGAACACATCTTTTTGCAGATCAGTCGCAAAGAAGGAATAAGTTTGCCTGCGTATTGTTTGAAAATCATTAGAGAAACAGATTCTACCACCAAATCTCGTGTAATACGATATTTATCCACTCTCGACAGTTAAATTTAAAAATTTAACTGTCTCGAGTGGATAAATATCGTATCAAACTCGATGCTGTGGTAGAATCTATATGCATAAGTAAAAATTTAATTTTCTTTTCAAGGGTTGAATATACATTGTACATTCTCCCCCTATCTTCTCCATTCTTTGTTCCCAATTTTGTATTTGTACATAATTCTTTTTTCACCAGCCCAGTTGAAGATTTTACAACAAGTACATTATTGCTGGTACATTATGCAATAGAAAGAGAAAAGTATGGAGGAAAAATATCAGAGGCTGTGTTTAAGGATTTGTTTAAATCTTTTGTGAAGATGGTTAATCTAGTTCCTGGGTAAGTGTTTTTCTCCCTAAATTTTCATGATGCCATAGAATTGATAAACATTGCAAATCACCCTCTGTATGTCATTTGGCTGTTTTGTAGTTGCTTTCTCATCTCATTTTATTTATACACATAAACAAAATATCAAATACCATTGTAGGGATGATGCTATGTCAATTATCCACATACATGTAGCATCATCACCATCCTTATATTACAGTTGTATTTTAAAATACAAATGCATAGATCTACTAGTTTTACGGCATCATTTAATATACTTTTAGGCCTTTTGTCAACTAGAAACTTTTTGTTTTTAAATTAAATTTGTTTTGAAGTTATGCACATAAGATATCCACAAGTAAAGTCTGTTGCAGATCTCAGTGCTTTAGTATCGATACTATTAAATGAGAAGACCTCATTTTGTGTGTCGCTTCTCTTCCTTCCACAATAAATTAATCATCATGGCATCTTTGTCCTATACGTACCATGCATAGTCGAATTTGTCATCCTCGCTTATGATTATTCAGTTTGGGTTATTTGGGTAGGAAAACGAAAATAAGGAAGTCCGGATATTATTTTTGTCCACAAAATCCATAAAAAACAATTGTCCACAAATCCATTTTATAATTTATGTATAAACAAGATTATATATATAAGTATCATAAATCCTCAATTATGCACCTACATTATACTTTTAAAGCCTATAGAACCAGATTTTTAATTTCATCTGGATAGCCACAAAATTCACATGTCTAACAATGTCTAAGGGTATCATAATGCATATTTTTCTACATAATCGTTTTATTTGCTTCTGATCCAATACTGAAATCTTTTATCTGAGTTTACTAGTTGATAGGAAATTATAATAGTTTGCCTGTTGAATATATTTGTAGGTGGTTAGCTTTTAAACGCCTGTTTACGAGAGGTATTATGGTATACCATTGGCCGTCTGTCTTTTCATTGGTCTGTCTGTCCATTGTCCATTGTCAACATGATGAACCATGATGGACAATATCTCAAAACACTCTCACCAGTTTACTCCTTTTGGCCATACACTGTGATTTATGTTGCTTGTGTTAATCGGTATTGCAGAAATTATGTTGCTTGACAATTTTGACATAATGAAATTGCTTTGTTTCTTTTTTTCCAGTCAAGGTGAGGAATGGACGTCCCAAATGACAATTCTACAGCAGGATGTTACATCAGAATCTAATGTTGTTATAATGACAAAAGATTTTCTTAACAGTATTCCTCCAAGTATAGTATCTGTTGTTTCCATTGTAGAGGTATTGCTATCATACTTTTTCAATTTTCTTGTAAAGCCACTAAGAGAATCGTTTTGTGAAAGTCAGAATGAATATAAATTGAATTAAGTTCAAATTACTAATTACAGTACCGCTACTTAAGTTGGAAATAAGTGGCAAACAATTACCTCTCTTGCTAACACAGAACATGCACAGAATCTCTTCAAAAGTTGACACATTTTCCACAAGGACACTATTGATTAAAAATTAACAAGAAAATTTGCAGTTGAATAGTAAAGGTAAATGCAAATTTAAATAAGTTATTAGTCAAAATCAAATGGACCTTATTCTGACATTTGTCTGATGTAAACATTTAATGCGAATGAAATAAGAAGAGCACATTTATACATGTACACAATTTGAGACCACCTATTCCATGTATTCTAAAAATTGTTAAAATGTTTAAAATCTTTTAACAGGTGAACTGTTTTGAAAAACTATTTTTATGCCCCCGCCGTAGCGGAGGGGGCATTAAGTTTTACCCTTGTCCGTCTGTACGTCCCTGTCCCAAAATTGGTTTCCGTTCTCTAACTTTAGTTTGCCTCAACCAAATGTTATAAATCTTATACACAATGCTTTTTATAACAAAACACAAATCATGTTTGAATTTTGGTGGCTTCACTTTTTACCGTTCTAGAGTTATGCCCCTTTACAAATGGAAAAATAAATTTTCTTTCCGTTCTCTAACTTTAGTTTGCCTCAACCAAATGTTATGAAACTTATACACAATGCTTATTACCTTAGAACACAGACCAAGTTTGAATTATGGTGGCTTCACTTTTACCGTTCTAGAGTTATGCCCTTTACAGATGGAAAAATTGCAGAATTTTTTGTTTCCGTTCTCTCACTTTAGTTTGCCTCACCCAAATATTATGAAACTTATGCACAATGCTTATTACCACAAAACACTGATCAAGTTTGAATTTTGGTTGCGTCACTTATACGGTTCTAGAGTTATGCCCCTCTACAAAGGAAAAATTTGCATGATTTTTCATTTCCGTTCTCTAACTTAAGTTTGCCTCAACTAAATGTTATGAAACGTATACACAATGCTTATTACCACAAAACTCAGATCAAGTACAAATTTGGGTAGCATCACTTTTATAGTTCTTGTGTTTTGTCCCTTTATAACATTATATGCAAGCGGGGGCATCATCTGTGTCCCATGGACACATTCCTCATTTATTCTTTATTTTTAAAAATCTGAAAAGATATAATATTGAAATAGTTTTATTACTGTGACTTGACTGTAAGTATTGCTCACCACCTACTGCAGTTTATTCAAATTTCTGACTTAATTGCAATTTGTTTTATCAAACCAAACTGTTCAACTTGTCAAAGATTTAAACAAACTGCTGTAAAATTAAAGCAAGATTTTCTTTTACTTTTACAAGATAGATCAAACTTACTCATATAGTTAAGAACTATATTTGTGGATATAGCAAACACTTTGAAATTCCATGCTCCAGCAACATTTATTGGGGAGATTATTGTCCCCGCTCAACATGTTGTGGGGGACAAAAAATACTGGACATCTGTCTGTTGGTCCTTCCGTCCAGTCTTGTTAGCACTTTCACAATTCTTTGTACAATTTTTTGATTTTTATGATACTTTAATCATAGGTTTACATATGTATTTTTAAAAATAATTGATCCACACTGATTTTCGAACTAGTTCAAGACCACTGGTGGTAAGGGGATGGTCGTAAGGTAAAGTTACGGTTAGCCAAAAATTGGGAGATAACTCTAGAGATAATTTTCTCTTTTCCTATTTTCGTGCAGTATAATGTTCACTTCAACCAAACCGCTTATCTCAAACACACAAATCTTTAGTATGTTGATATTGAGGTAAAATTTGATACATAAAATCATTCAAATTCTCGTTAAATAGTCATTCAAAAATTCAAACATGATGGTCGTATCTAAAACAACTAAAATGTTGAAGATGGTCGTAACGTAAATGTGTGCTGGTCGTAACTGTATTAAATAGGTCAGAAAACAGTAAGTAAAGAGTTTTAAACATGTCTGTTATGAATATATTATATTATACTTTTGTGCGTTTTTATACATACGACGGATAATACAGCAGTTTCGTTTACGGGGCCAAAAAAGCAATAAATTACGACATAAGTCGTTTAATGGCAATTGAACAGGAATCAAGACTTGTCATGTAATGGTCACAGGCCAGCACATGCAAGGCTTTTGTGTATATTTTATGGAAATCTTAAAGCATGGTTCAAGTATGCAAAAAAATGTAGCTAACTTAAATTTATGAGGATGTGAATGGGGTTTGAAGAATAGAGGAAAATGGGCAAGCAAAATATACAGAAATGAATGACCCCATCCACACGCTCATTTATTATATTTAGGTTAACAGTTGAATTCTTGCGGTGGGATTACATGGGGGGAAAATGTCAAAATGTTCCTTTGCGTTAATTTGTTTCGTACTGCTATATTATATGCTGTAGTTATAATGTACATAGATACAGACTAGCACAACCTAATTTTACGGAGATCTTGTTTACCGGGCTCTTTGTAACTGACTATCATGACTATGCAGTATCGGTTTTACTTGTTGATGAAGGTCGTACGGTGAACTATAATTGTAAATTTCTATGTCATTTGGTCTCTTGTGGTAATCATACCACATCTTCTTATTTTTATACGACGGCAAAACGTATTTTGGTATGACGTTGGTTTTCGCACAATAACTTTAGTTTAAGTGAATGGATCTCTATGAAATTTTACCATAAGGTTCAATACCAAAAAGGAAGGTTGGGATTGATTTTGGGGGTTATGGTACCAACAGTTAATGAATTGGGGGCCAAAAGTAAGCATTTTTGTAACTTCCAGACAATAACTTGTGTTTAAGTGTATGGATCTCTCTGAAATTATACAACAAGTTTCCATACCACAAAGGGATGGTTAGGATTGGCTTTGGGGGGTTATGGTTCAAACCGTTTAGGAATTAGGGGCAAAAAAGGGGAAAAAAACAAGGGTTTCTTGGTTAATGGACAATTTAAAAGCAGGGTAAGGGAGGTAATCCAAAAACAAAATTGTACAATGTTAGATTACCTCCCTTACACTGCTTTTAAATTATCTATTTAAGACTTTTATGATGTATTTAAATTGGTAATTATGGTTGCAAACTCCATTGGAAATTTGAATTGAGATTATGACCATATCTTGAGGGAAAGAATTTTTTTTTTGGAAAAGGGGGGTGGGGGAGTTGGGTAAAAAAGAAATTGTGGGGGTCAATTTGCAATAGCATAGTGTATTGCTCAAAAGCAAAAAATTGAATATAAATTCAAATCATATAACCAATTCTAAGTTCTTTGACTACAGTTATTCGGTGTCAGAAACCTATTATGTGTCAAATATTTGATTACAATCCAAATTCAGACCTGTATCAAGCATGAATATTGTGTCCATTTTCGCCCCAACTGTTCAGGGTTGGACCTCTGCGGTTGTATACAGCTGTGCTCAGCGAAGCATTTTATTATATGTATGTCAATATATGGTTATTTTAAATGATGTTGCATTGAACATCATGAATGGTAAAAATTGTGTAAAGGCTTTTTTTTAATTTCAGAATTACAATGTTAATTGATATTTGTTTTGTTGTTTTGTTGTTTGCTTTTTTTTTTTTTTTGGGGGGGAGGGGTGTTACTGTAAAAATACGATAAAGTTTGAAGCTACATAGCAAGATTAAATTTTGAAACTACGGAATATTTTATGATTTTAAATATTTTCTGCAATCACACAAACATAGCAGTTGACAGATGATGGAATAAACTATCCAATGACAAATCCAGAAAAAGAGATCCAACCCGTAGACGACAGATCAAGCCGGGGAAGGGTCAGGGGTAATTCTTGGGGTAATCGATGAGATTTTTGTTTCATTGTTGCATTGTATTCACATGTAGTAATTACCAAATGCTTTGTTACTGAATGTTGCCGACTTCTTATTTTCATATAAGTCGGAGTTCATTTGGACAGTTGTCAAACACATAAGCCACATCATTTAATTTTTCTTTCAGATATATTGAAGAGTTCTTTCCATTAACAATCCAAAATTTTCTGATTGGGTTCCAATAATATATCCTCCGGGACTAGAAATAACAGAAACAACAGACACGGCTTCCTCCGTCTCATTTTTATTAGACATGTACCTCGACTTTGACATAAGAGGTCATCTCCGTACCAGAATCTATGACAAAGGAGACGGTTATAATTTTGAAATTATCAATTTCCCCCCACCTTAGTAGCAATATTCCAACTTCGCCTGCATATGGGATATACATTTCCCAACTCATTAGGTATCCAAAAACTTGCAGCTGCTACTTATACTTTATAAAACTTCACCAGTGTCTGAGCAGAAAGTTGATGAACCAGGGTTATATCAAAGAAGGTCTGGTCCTTTTTCTAAAAGAAATTCATCGGAAGATACCAAGAAATTGCTGAAATATATACAGTATCAACTTCACAAGTTATACATGATGGTCTTAGAGTATAGGTTATAGTTACTGACATTGTTTATCATCTTAATAACGTGTTATAGTGTCCGAATGTGTCTTCGTAAGTTATTAACCTTTACTGTTTACTCTATTTTTGAAAATAATTTATCCTTTTGGCATGGCTCGGTACTTGTACATCCCGCCATTTTGTAGTTGCCATTTTTTGTAATTTTGTCTTTAATTTTTCCTTTTGTGCTTTGTCTTTATGCCATTTTGTTTTTCTTTGTTGATATATTTGTTTGTTTTTAGTGATTCAAATTATAAGACAATTTTTACTGCTGTATCCCTAATTTTGACATTTTAATCTTTTATGTCTGTTTGTTTTGAAAAACTCCAAGGAAGATTAATTAGTCTTCATTTCAAATAGACTTTAATTTACCACTTTAATATGACAAAATTACACGAAGTTGATGATTCCTGGATGATTATACAACAATAAAGGGCATCATTAGTATGTTTAGTTTAC